TTTAAGGTGTCATATTTTGACTGAAGAATCCCTAGATGTACTATATCCTAGTCATATTTTTCTCTTCTAAAATAAGAAGAAAAGTTACAATAACACCACCTCACTATAGGTGGTCTCACCAAATTCGCCTTTTCTGAACACAGTGTGTATTTGTAGAAAATAGTTGATTACCAATTAGATGAACTATAGCTGCTCTATCACTTCTCTATTGTGCTATTTATTCAGTCTAAATTTTTTTTTTTTGTCTTTGTGAGGTAGGGTCTTACTCTGCAGTTTAGGCTGGCCTCAAACTCAGAATGATCCTCCTGCCTCAGCCTCCCAAGTGCTGGCATTACAGGCATGCACCGCCACACCCAGTTCTCCCAATTTCCTTGTTTAGTAATCTTAATATGTGAAAAAATTACATATGAGAGCATTTAATAATGACTATATATTACACATTATCTTCTCTATAAAAATATGTTACAATAACTTATAATTTCTTCAGTAAAAAACAGCTAATTTCAGAAATTTCTTAAAGCACTCAAACAGAAAGTTCCATGATGAAACTATAAGAATTAATCTACGACTGAGGTAGGAGAATCACTGTGAGTTTGAGACCAGCCTGGGCTACATAGTGAGTCCAAGGCCAGTCTAAACTACGTAATGAAACCCTGTCTCAAAGGACAAAAAGCAAACAAACAGAAAAGAATTCATCTAAAACTAATTTCTGAATGTCCTAAACTACAGGGTCAGCAAACCACAATCCACAGGCCAAATCCAGGCGCTGGCTTGGGGCTAAAGAACAGTTCCTTACATTTTCAAAAGTTAAAAAACGAGGAAAAATATTTCATGACACAGGGAAGTGACAGGAAGTTCAGCTGTCAGTGCCCACACGCGCCGCCATCCCGGTTCACCACGCAGTAACGTGGCTACCGTGTGCAGAGGGGCAGAGCTGGACGCCTGCGACAGGGACGGTGTGGGTGCCAGAGCCCGGAATATCTGCTCTCTGGTTCCCTGAGAAAACCCCTGCCCGCCTCACCTACAGGCCAAAAATACCTGGGCCTCCTTACTGCTGTGCACTTGGTGGGCAAAGAACAGAAAATCAGAGAAATCACATTAAATATATCATCAAATTTCATCGTCACAAATTATATGAAACACTTGCAGGAACCACATCTACTGATAATCTAAAAAGCCTGTAATTATAAAGTATAAGGATAAGAAGGCACCAATTTTTTTAAAATAAGAGAAGCACTTGGCTTAAAATAACATCCTAAGATTTGTGAAATTCTTGGAAATTTTTATGAAGCAAGATATTTTATGCTCTGCTAACGCACACGCACATTTAGCGATGCTATTTAATCCCTCGGCGTGTGAATAAACTTCACTCGAAGGTAAAAAGGGTACCACAACATTGGTCAAAGGAACTTTAAATTCTGGCTTCCTTGAAAATTTTACCTTCTGAGAAAATTTTCTGCTCAGAAATTAGAGACCCAACTACTTAGCGCAGAAATTTCATTTTCAGGGGCCACACACAGTTCATCAAAAAGCAGTTAGTCCTGTGACCTTCCGTCCAATTTTTCCTCCTCCCAAATTTCTCTAAGAATTTATTAAAGCTTCTCTAAGCAATGATCTCTGCTGTTATGGGAATAATAACAAAGGGGTGTCGTCCAAGCGTCTGACTGCTACTTAGGCTGACAGCAACACACAGCAGACAGACCAAGGAAGAGGAACGTGGGCGCTTAGTACTAGCTTTGGAAACCACTTAATCAAGTCATTTATTTCAAATCTCAGACTGTTAATCCATAAAAATGGTTCCCCAAAACTCTACTTTGCTAATACCAAATTATCTGAACAGGAGGTCCGTGTCTCAAACTGTCTTATCATTAAAAGCACTGGGAGCAAACTGGAGTCTGAGGAATTCGGTAGGTTAGGGGCTAAGGAGTCTATATTTTTGTATGTGCGGATGACCTAGATATAGCGCTTGTCAAAGAGCAAGGTAAAGAAACATCTTGTAAAACAGCAAGTCCTCTTCCATGTGAGATATTACCCAGGGGGAAGTCAACAAGGACAGAGGAGGGAAGGAAAACAAAGAGAGGAATACAAACAGAAATAGAAGAGCGTTCCTGTTTGGTTAATTTAACCACATGGGTAGGGGAGAAGACCCATCCTAATTAACTCTGGGACATGATGGTTTGTCCAGGTAACTCTTAGCCTTGGTGATGACAAAGTGAGTGTAAACAGTACCGCTCTGTCTGGTATGTTTGTCTTTCCCAGTGGTATGTGTTAGCCCTTGCTAACTCCCTCCTGTGTACTCTGGGGCTGAGCAAATAAGTAACACATAAATGTGTGCGGTGGGGAAGGGAAGCCAGGCTTCTCACGCTGGACACGGGGGTCCCTGTAGGTTTGAACTAGAACGAGACATTTAGTAGGAACGCAAACTCAGCAGATGCACACACAGAGAGATGCAGCAAAATGGATTTGTGTATCTTATACACACGTGTGTGTGTGTGTGCGCGTGCGTGCGCGCGCAAGCACTACATATAACCAGCTTTGTGCGCTGAGAAGCTGGAAGCAGTGTCACCTCAGTGACAGTGAGCACTGGCTCCAGACAGTGGTTTGCGCTTTGTAAATACCACTCTAAAATAAAGGATATCCTGTCCCCGAGGAGGGTTCGAAGCGTTACACCAGGACAAGGGTAAGATCAACCTGCAGCATTCTGGAATGTTAGAAAGGAAGAAGCCCTCAAAAAAAAAGAGGGGACCGCAATAAAAGAGCACAGGAGTCACCCTGAATAGGCACCCCCAGGCAAGTACGGGTCAGCCTGAGCAATAAAATTACGACATAACTGACTGCGTCCCGCAAAGTAAGAATCCACAGTCCACTTTGACAAGAAGAAAGGCGGGGAGAGGACAGAGGATTGACAGAAGCACTGCCACTATCAACCACTGACTGAAGGCCGAAACCAAGGGCGTAGGAAACGGCCAGAAAGCCGCTGGACGCCCAGGAACCATCCGGGCGGGGAGCAGCCGAGCGCCTGTGGCTGCGAAGTTCCCAGACTTAGCCCAGGGCCTCGCACGCACCCCGGCGCCTCGTGCAGAAGAGAAGGTCCTGCGTGGGTCTGCGGTGAAATGCCCAGTGTAGCTCCAAGTCCCGCATTTCTACAGGATCTCTGCTGCGGCTTCTCTGACAAACGTTAGTATCTGAGCTCAGACAACAATGCGGACAACGCTGCAGATGTTTCTAGGATTTTAAATCCCTTATGCGTGTCAGCTTTCAGCTTCTTAAGAAATAGGCGTGGTCAAGCACGGAAACCTTTGGAAGGTTTCTCCTGGGAATTCTCTGATGTACGGAAAAGGTCATTTTGATTAAAAATTTTTCTAAAATAATCACCACTATGGATTTTTGTTTCCATGAACTGTCTCGTGTGTCACACTGACCAGATCCTCCTTTCAATCTGAAGAGCCATACTTATTAAGAGCCTTACTTAAAGTTTGGAGATATATTGCTTAAAGGACACGAAAATACAGTTCAAGGTAGAAACAGCATGTGGTGATTGGGATATTGGACATATTGACCAAATCATACAGAGGTGTAATGTGGTCCACAAAAAAAAGAAAAAGTTTCCCAAACTGAGTGCAGTCTGATGAATATTACTTTATTATTAATATTCAGAAGCCTGAGTTCAAAATAAAAGCAGGCTCAAAGAATCTGTTAAATCTGTCAAATAAGCAAGTTAATAGAAGTACTTAATTTATCACAATTTTCTCATTTCTCTGGGTCCTACTATTTGCATAAATTAACTAATAAATGCTCAGTTGACTAAACTGAATTTAAAATTTTTAGGTATTGCTAAATTACTACTCACACCCAATGCTCGGAGACAGACTGACATAGGTACGATTTATTTATATGTAAATATGTGACCTATTTATGTATTCTTTCTTTTTCAGAGAATAAAGACTTCAAGACAGCTACAGTCTATACACGATGGACTATCAGTCCTTACACAAGTTCACAGAACTTTAAAACTGGGAAGAGTTAGAGCCTGCTAGGAAGCTTGGAAAGCCTCGCGCTTAGTAAAATACATACACGTAAAATGGACCACTGCAAGCATCTTAAGCGTAGGGTTTAGTGACATTAGGTACCATGTTGTGAAAACATTGCCCCCACCCAGCTCCAAATGTCTTTCATCTTCTGAAACTGAAACTCTACATCCCACACACAGGAACTCCTCATCACCCCTCAAGGCCCGGGCAGCCGCTACTCAACTTTCTGTCTCTACTCATCTGGTTTAAAAATCTTGCTGAGCACATGCTTGCAGTGCATAATGTTTCTATTCCCTGGGACGAGCCAGTGCCTCTACATAACACGTTTAATTACATTTTCCACTCTCCTTCCCTCCCCTCCCTTCCTCTGCCCGCCCTCCATCTCTCACTCCCCTTCCTGTCTGAGAAAGACCCATCTCCCCACTTCCTGTGACCTGCCTTGTATTTTGCTCTTTATTTATAATTTGGATTTTGTGGACAGTTTTTAGCAAATTCTCCTCAGTGGTACAAACTCAATAACCATAGCAATGAAAAAGGAAAATCACTCCTTCGGCATCAGATAAAAGAATACCTGAGAAACTATTTTAGAGGGTTAAAATCAAGAGTGGACGTTAACCCTGGAGTTATAACTGGAGTGCATTCACTGTTGGAATTATAGCTACTTAAACTACCATCTTGGCTCTCTACTTAGGACAAATACATATCATTCATATTTTTAATTTCATAAAAAATCAAATGTGACAAATATACCTGAAAAAATACACACAAAATTTTTCCCCAGTGCAGAAATCCTAATGGGAAAGAATGTGACATAAAAAAACACGAGCCACTCTGTAGCTGTCCGCAGGTATAAAAGGAAAGATACGGGCAGGAGAGGTTCCTCGTCCACCTCACTGTACGGCAGCTCTTGCATCCAAAAATAAACCACGCGGTAGTAGAAATGGCCAAATTAATTTATCTGGTACTTACAGGACATAGAAAAGATGCACCCGAAGGTCAGAATTCGTGAAAGGACTCTGAAGTAAGGGCTGCCCAGAGCAGATGAGTAATTTCAAGTCCACTTTCACCCAGCACTGTATGTTCCAGTTCACACCTGAATTAAAAATAAACTACATTAAATCTGAAAACCTTTCTGAACAACTCAGTGAACGAGGAGGGCCAAATCCACCGCGCTCAGACCTGCCTCCCTCCGCCCCTTCCAAGAGTAAGAACAACTCCAACTACCGGCTCACTTGCCCGGGTATCAAGTCCCTTTGAAAGCCTTCAATTTTCTTATTGTAAAGTAAGAGAATTAAATCCAATCGCCTCTTCTCAAACTCCTCTTTAATCTCATGCCACTCAGAAAAAACAGAAGAGCTCAAAATTTACCCAGCTCGGTTCATTCGCATTTTTCAAGAGAAAAAAGAACATCAAGTATCAAGGGACAAGCAAATGTGGAGGGACACTTCTGTGTCAGCACCAGGAAATAAAGGAGCTGAGACCCTGGCACCTTAAATGTCTGTGGCTGTAATAGTGGAAGCCCCAAACACAGCCGAGGAAAGGCCACTTCAGCCACGCTGGAGAGCTCTCCTGCTCGAGTGGAGGCACGCTCTGGGGAATCTGTAACTTTTAAGGCACAGACAGTAAAAACTGTGAACCCTGACTAATTAAGACAACACCAAGACCAACTTCAGACAGCTGTTTCCCTGACCAGAAGGGTACCCAGCCGCCAGGAATTCTAACCCTCGGAGCCCCTGAAGCAAACGGCCCACTAGAAAGAATAATCCACAGAGGCTTTCAAGTGACCACTGTATAACCTAGAGTGATTTAAGTTACAAAAACTGATACTCTACTCAGAAAAAAAACTCGCTTTTATCTCCGATTTATACTATGAAGTTAAAATAGCACTAGTCATTACCTTCATAAATGAAAAAGGTGCTAATATAGTTTACCATTCCAAGCCTCATTAAAAGGACCTTGACTTATTAAACTCGTTTTTAGCTTAGCATGTTTAATCAACACTTGCTTAGCTAAGTTAAACTTTGTTAGAAATGTTTCCACTTAAATGCTCTGGGAGGCTGAAGCAGGGGGATCACAAGTTCAAACCCCGCCTGTGAGACCCCATCTGAAATAAAATTCTTAAAAAGGGCTGGGACTATAGCTCAGGGCAAAGGCCCTGGATTCAATTCCCACAAGAAAAAAAAGGTGTTCACTTGAAATGAAATGAATGGCTCTGAACTGGGCGGAGACAGTGGGGGTTATTTCTATTCACTGTTTTTCAGTTCTTGATTTGACTACATAGCTATGTTTTCCCTTTATTCCTAAACTGATTTCCACATACTGGGGTGTTTCTTCCATCTAATCAATGCCACAAAAGCTGGGGCGACTTTTCTACATCAGAGGACATTGGGCAATACCTGAAGTTCTCCATTATTTCTACAACTGGGGAGGAAACGCTTCTGCCTCTAGCAGTCAGAGGCCAGGAAGCATCCCACGATGCCAGGGTTGCTCCCCAAAGCCGAGGGTAACCTGGACCAAACCCTCAGAGCTGTCCACTGGGAACTCATAACCACTCCTACACTTTCGCAAGCCTGTGCTTCCAGACCGCAGGTCTCCACAGACGTAAAGTCAGTCAACTCTGTGCTATTTAGCTTTTCCAGAAGACGTGGAAATAATTTTGTTGTTTATATTTTCAGGTGCAGAATTAGTATGCATTATACTTTAAACAACCAAAAAAATCCCTTGATTTAAAATGGGTACTGCTTCAGAGAGATGCCTGGCCTGAAAAAAATCATTCATAAATGTTTCTAAATGTGACTAACTCCACAGCGTTGTCAGTAATTCTGTATTTTTTACTTAACAACAAATGGAGTGTTTTTTCTGTTTCAAAGCAAATGTAGTAGACTACAGGGTTATACTTTTTTAACAGGTATAGGTGAAGTTTACTTTTCACTTTTTTATTTTTATTAGTCCATATTTGCAGTACATAACGGCTACATTCCTTGTGAGGAGCTGGTACGTGTGCGCCACATCTTAACTCCTTTTCATTCCCTTTCCCTCCTTCCCCCTTCCTCCAAACCTGAATCCCCCTCCTGTTTGAGAAAGATCTCTCTCTACTTGCTATTAGCTTTTATTTTGTTCTTTATTTATATTTTAGGTTTCTCATACAATAGAAACCATGTGATATTGAAGCCTGTGTATCTGATATATCTCATTTAACATCATGGTCTCCAGGTGAATCCATTTTCCTACAAATGACTCAAGTTTATCACTTTTTATGGCAGAGAAGTACTCCATGGTGTGTAAACACCGCATTCTTTATCATTCATCTGTTGACGGACAGATAGGCTGCTTCCAAGATCTAGCTGTCATGAATTCTGCTGCTATAAACATGGGTGTGCATGGATCCCTGTAATCCAATGTCTTCAGCTCTTTCAGGAAGACATCTAAAAGGAAAATAGCCTGGCCAAATGGAATCTCAAGTTTTAGTTGTTTTGAAAGTAAAAAGAATTCTCTTTATACATTCTATGGGATATTAAATACCTGGGGGCTTATTATGAATGTTGTCACATGGTGAATCCTAGTTTTATTATTGACATTAAAATGACAATATATGTTGATAATCACATGCACAAGGCATCTATTTCACATATTTCAGAAATTTAAAACACTTTGTTCAGTATAGTTAACACTTAACAGTTTACTGCTCGGAACGTTAAAATACCTACCCGGTCGTTGGAAAACGGAAGAACCCACTGTGGGAACAAAGCCCTCCCCTTCAGTGCCGTCTCCATGCGCAGGGCAGTTTTTATCTTGCTCACTCCAAAAGCAACAGTGGAAAGCTGCTTCCGATAAATTAGCACTGTCGGCACCACTTGAATTAAATCTGGCTTCAACAACTGCCTCATTCTCTCCACTCGAATTTGAAGTGTTTGAGATTCCGGTGGGCAAGAAGGAGTAGTCATCAGTTTTATTTGATGGCAGGCAGGATAATTTAAATCTCCAGGGAGTGACCGGATATGCCAGGTTCAATGCAGCTATCGCATAAAGAAATTCTGGGGGGACATGAAAAAGATACACATAAAACAAGTGTCATTTTGCCTAGGATATGGCAGTCGAAGTGTGTGAGACCCAGCCATGCAGCACTCAGTAATAACCATCCAACTTTCAAAGAGCTCAATCTACACCTAATGAACAGCTCTGGGCTGGGTGTACAGTAGGTTGTTCCAGAGAGGTCTCATTAATGTACTGAAATAACTCTGCTCTTGGGCACCCCACTTTGGAAAGTCATACATCATTTTTCCTCATTTACCTAATGTCTTATATCTGTATTTTCATGAAAGAAATTAACATAAAATATTTTAGTTGCCTTTTGAATAAAAAATTATTCCAACTTCTCACATAAATGAGCAATATCTGCATGCGCGTTTATAGAAATAAACATTAAGAGCTTTTTTAATGTTTATTGCAGGCAACACAGCAGAATGTTAGCAGCGCCTTCACGGTGAGGGTTCGGGGAGGGTCTGGCTATGATGTGACACAGCTGGACCATCTCCTCCAGATGAGACACCGTACAAACAAGCCCTAATACGCGCTCCCAGAAACTACGTCCGCCAATGTTTTCCTGCGAACTTCAGCTGGGGATTATCACTTTTCAGACAAGAGATCATGAACACTTTTATAGCTCTGTTCAAAACAAAATCTTCAAACATTAAGTATATCTCAACATAACTGTTTGAAAAAAACATTAATTCTTTATGATTTATTTTCACAAATAATCCAACAACTTTGTTGCCCTATACACACGCTAATGTAGAGTGAGAATCCTGAGTATTTTGTATGGATTTGTACAGTATGGGCATTTTGAAGAATTATGAGAAATGTGAACAGATAAGACAACAGAACTACCCAGGATGTCCTGCTGTGGATGAATGGGTAAGTTACCTGCAGTACTTTGAGATGAAGGAATATCATTCAGTTCCAAGAAGAAAAAAGATATGAAAAGATAGGGAGGAAACTTAAATGCACATTATGAGGAAAAAAAAGTCAATCTGAACAGGCTGCGTACTGCATGATTTTGACTATGTGACATTCTGGAAAAAGCAAAAGTGTGAAATGATTAGTGGTTGTGGTGGGGGCAGTCAAGTGGCACACAGAGGACTGACTGTGTCGTGTGCAACCCTGTCTCTACTCCGTAAGAACCTACATGGGCCTATGTGACTCTGTCAAAAGCCACAGAGTGCCCAAGAGCGAACCCAAATTAACATAAAGCAAAGCCTATTAAATGATAAGAAAGCAGAAATGTGTAAAAAGCAGTTCACAACTTTTTTCAGTACTAGGGATTAAATACAGGCCCTCTTGCTGAGCTCCATCCCTAGCCCTTTTTTATTTGTATTTTGAGACAGGGCGTCTCTAAGCCACAAAGTTACCCCCTAGTCTGGGCTCAAACTTGTGATCCTCCTGCCTCAGCACCGCAGAGTGCTGGGATTGCTGGCATGCACCAACATGCCCAGCTCAGAAACATATTTTTAATTCAAAAAAAATCAACGCAAGTAAAAATATTTGAATAAGGCCTAAGTAATAACTGTTCATAACTCAATTTCTGACCCTTTCTACAAATACAAATTAATATAAAGATGCACAGGTACATCCTCTGCAGAAGGGAAGGGGACCAAGAGACAGAGGGGAGGGAGAGGGCGGGAAGGATAGGAGATGAAAAGGGCGGAGATGCGTCCTGCACAGGCACCACCTCCCCACAAAAATTATTAACATGAGTCACATTATTGTGTTCACAACGATAACAGTTAGGTACCCTAACCCCACAAAAACGAATCCTCACTGCAGTGTGTTTCTTTGCCTTCCATTCTTCTAACATACGCTCCTGAAATCAGAACATCTATAAAAACAGAATTGTGTTTTGTTTTGTTTTGTTTTAAAAAAAAAAAACATGCATATGCAGCAGGACTAATGAAAAGCATTGTTTTTTCTAGCTGCACAGGAAAGATTCAGTGAGCGGAATTGAAATTAGCCTGACATCCTCAGTGTACTGAAACCTAAAAAGTAATAATGAACTTCACAAATACACAGCAATTGAATCAGTGTAATTAAGAGATGACAACGGCACAGCACTTGCCTGGCAAGCGTGAAGTCATGAGTTTGATTCCCAGTACCAAAAAAAGACATGAGCCTGTTTTGTCTGCATACTGTCTTTGCAAATCACATTTCCTTCCCTTGGAATGACTCCTAAACAGTGAAAGACCCAGAACTGTCATTGGCACCATTCGCTGTCAGATACCAATATTCCAGGGTCTTGTCTCATTTGTAAGACTTGATCAAACCATGAACCTTTCAAAAAGCCAATATGAAACTAAGAAAATCTAATAAAAATTGGAGAATCTAAGAGATAAAGTGTGGTTCTCTTCAATGCATGTAATAAAATTAGATGAAGAATATAAAAGAGAATGAATGATTTCTCCTTGATAATCCCAGGAACACGGTTTTTTGGCATCTCTGTGAGTGAGGCTATCCTGGGTGTCTCCTGCAAGGACCAAGACGGCCACAAGGAGAAGGGACAGCACCACCCGGGAGCCCTGTGTGGGTGTGTGCAGGGCACGTGTACCCTGACGCTACAAGACAGATGCCCAGAGCTGGCTGACACCGGGGTAAGTCACCAGATAAAATGGGTTTTGTTAAAAGATAGCCTGACCTGAATTCCAAAACTTTGAAATACAAACTAAATTAGATGATTCAAAGTTTATAAAAGTCCAAATATCACCAGAATATGGTGAGAGATGAGTGAGGACATATACCCAAAAGTTATCCATGATGGGAGAGACAGAGCCAGACGGCGGGAGAGGACTCTCCAGTGATGACCACCCTGCAGAAACATCAGCTGGGACAAATCTCACATATTAAAAATCTTCCCAAGTGCTAAGGGGACCAGGCACAGACACATGGGAGGCGGAAGGTGGGGCAGTTTCACACGGTCTGCGTCATGCTTCCCAGGACCCACGAAGCACAACCTGGAGACAGACGCTGTCTCTTGGGGAAAAGACAGGGAAGAGGGCCAAGCTTCCCCTGGGTCCCCAGTACCAGTTCTGCAGCAGTAACTCCAGCACCAGGAAGATGCCCAGCCTGGTGCCTGCAGAATGAGCCTCCCGTCCTGCCCTGGAGACAGATAGGCAGCCACATACCTGCACAATGGGCCTGGCGCCTGCTGACCCACCACAGAAGACTTGGCTTCAGATAAACCTTGGGGGCCAGCGAACCTCACTGGCCACAGGCTGCAGGGACATCCCATCCTGTGCTAGCCCTGGTGGCCAGGAAACACCTGCCTGGCACTGGGCACTGTAGCAGTCCTAGGCCACAGTACCTGCTGCAGGGGTCACATGCACAGGGACCACATGGACGACCTGTCCAGGAGCTCTGCACAGCACTGCTGCTGAGGGTTCTCAGACAAGGCTGATGTGCAAACCCCAGAGGAGGTCCACACTTCTCCGGTGCACAGATATCAGCACATGGCCACCCAGGTCAAAGCAAGTAGAGAAACGGGACATCACTGATGTACACAGTCAAGCACCAGGACTGACCCTCAAGCAGTGGAGCTCTATGAACTCCTTGCCAGAGAATCCCAAAATAGCTCGGTAAACTTCAAAGTCTACAGAGAAGAATGCAAAGAAATGAGCAAACAAAGCGACCAGAGTAATAAAATTAATGGAGATCAAAATACTAATAATGGGGCTGAAAATAGAATGAATAAAATGCAAAAGGGAACACAGAACATCAGGAACACAATAAATAAAGCTGGAAAATGTATGAGCTCAAAGAACAGATCATTGAAAATGTAAAGTCAGAGGTGAAAAAAACAAATGAACAAATTTTTGAGTTATTGGGTCTCAAAGCAGGAGTAGAAAATCATGACGGGGTAAAAGCTTAAAGAAGAAAAGAAAAATTTCCAATCTTGGACAAAGATACAAATATCCAGATATAAAGATCAAAGGTCACAAATTAGATTTAATCCAAATAAAACAACCTAAGACATTGTATAATCCAACTGTCAAGTAAGCTCCTGAAAACAGCCAGAAAAAAAAGAAACAAACAGCATACAAAGGAGTTCCAACATGCCCCTCAGCAGACTTCTCAGGAGAGACTGTCACAGGCCAAGAGGCACTGAGTCGTATTTTCAATGTGTTGAGGGGAAAAAAAAAAAAAAAAACGCTAACCAAAAACACTATTCCTACCAAATCTGTTCCCCAGAAATGAGAGATAGCCAGGTGTGGTGGTACACACCATAATCCCAGAATTTAGGAGGCTGAGGCAGGAGGATCACAGTGAATTCAAGGCCAGCCTGCATTACAAAGAGACATCCTGTCTCCAAAAAAAAATTAATAATAAGAAATGGGAGATAAAGATTTTCCTACACAAACAAAACCTAGGAGAGTTCATCACTACTAGACCTGTCTTATAGGAAATGCTAAAAGAGTTCTCCAACCTGAAAAAATAATAGCAATGATAATGAGTAACACAAAAGCACAAACCTCATTTGTCAGGTGCAAAATACCGTAAAAGAGGAATGGTGGGGGAAAATACATCATTAGAAAAAGGGTAAAGATAATACAAAAGTAACAACTACAATAAGAGGTGTAACAAGAAGGTGTGAATTGAAAAATTAAAAATTCAGAATGTGGGGACAGGTGAAATAAAAGTACAGATTTTTTTATAATCAAAATTAAGATGTTTTTGGCTTAAGAGAGCTTATTATAGCTCTAAGACACTTTTTATAATCCTCAAGATAACCACAAGGAAAAGATACACTGAAAATAAAAATCAAGGAATCAAAATACGCCACTAGAGAAAAATCATCTGATCACAAAGAAAGACAGTAAGAGAGGAAGTGATAATCCAAAGAACTAGAAAACAAACAAAAAATTGGTACCTGTCAATAATTACTTTGAGTGCTCACTTCAGCAGCACACGTAATGATTACTTTGAATGCAAATAGACTGAGTTTGCCAATAGACAGTTACTTGTTCAATGGGTTAAAATAAAAAAAGATTAAACTATGTAGCTCTTATCTATAAGAGATTCGGCTCCAAGAAGGGAGAGAGCATAAGGAGACGAGACAGGGAGAAAGACTGACTTACTTTTCCTACAAGAACACACACAAGGTGACGGTAAAGGAATGGAAAAAGATACTCCATGCAAATGGAAACCGAGGCAGACCAGGAACAGCTACACTACATCAGATAAAACAGACCCTAAGTCAAAACTGTAAAGACAGAAAAGAAGTTAATACAGTAGGAGATATAATAACTGCAGATATGTTTGCAACCAACATCAGAGACCCTAAATATACAAAGCAAATTATCAGTGTGCAGAAAGGAGAGACAGACTGCAGTAAATGATAATAGGAGACTTCAGTACCTGACTTTTAGCACATCCAAGGAGAAAAATCAACAGGGAAATCGCAGGCTTAAACCAGACTCCAGAACAAATGAACCTTACAGACATACACAATACATACAGAATGTCTCATCCAACAACTGCAGAATACAAAATTTTCTCCACTGTACAGGGACCATTATCTAGGCAAGATTGTATGTTGGGCCACAAAACATGTTTAACAAATTTAAAACTGAAATCCTATCAAGTGTCTTTTCTGACTACAATGAAATAAAACCATAAAGGAACAACAGGGGGGATTTCTTTTTCTCTTTTTGAGACAGGATCTTCTTGTGTAGTTCAGGCTGGCCTTGAACTCACTTTGTAGCCCAGGTTGTCCTCAAACTCACAGAGATCCTCCCACCTCAGCCTCCCGAGTGCTGGGATCACAGGTATGTACCACCACACCCGGCTTCAAGAGGAACTTCAGAAAATTCACAAACAGATGGAGATTAAACAACATGATCCTGAGTAACCAATGGGCCCATGAAGAATCTTAACAGATCATCCAATCATAAAAAGAAGGAAGACCTGATACTTGCAACCACACAGATGAACCTGGAGGACATTAAGCTGAGGGAAATAAGCAGTGCACAGAAAGACAGATACCACAAGGTCTCTCTCACTTGAGCAATCTGCAAAGTGAATCTCATAGAAGTCAAAAGGAGATGTATAGATTATAAGAGGCTGGGGTGATTCCGTGGCACAGGAAGCTGGGAGCCCCTCATTGAAACTAGAAGGGAGGAGAAAGTTCCACGATCCTATTACAGCATGTAGACCACAGTTAATGAGAATATGTTGTACTGGTGAAAATGCTGACAGATGTTGAATGTTCTCACCACAAAAATGCTAACTATGTGAGGCAACGCACTTGTGATTAGCTAGACAGAACTTGCATGGTGTACACTGACCTCAAAACATCACATTATACAAGATAAATAAATACAATTTTATATGTCGGTATTTCAAATAAAAATAGATTTAAAGAAAAAGAACTGGAAGCAGCAAAAATAAATAAATGAAGAATAGGTTTCCCTGTTTTAAAAAAAGGTTATCAACAAGGTATGACTAACTTCAAATGTAAGATCGTAAGCTCACTATGGCTTGCATCAGTTAAAAAGTCAAGACATTCCAAGGTCATGCAATGCTTCCTCTATAAGCCAACCCTGAGGGGACTGGGCGGAGGGACTGGTATGCATTTAATTTCTTTCTCTATCTTTTTCTTTTTTGTTTTGTTTTGGTTGGTTGGTTTGGGTGCTAGGGATTGAACCCAGGGTCTTCACACTAACCTACTTCCTCAGACTTTTGTAAAATTTTATTTATTTTTGATACAGGGTTTCACTAAATTGCCCAGGCTGGGCTGTAATTTGCAATCCTCCTGCCTCAGCTTCCCAGAGCACTGGAGCTATGGGCATACACCACAATGCCCAGCCATTTAATTTCTTAAAGCATTCTGATGATACTCAAGGTGGCACTTTGCAGTGCTAACACCATGCCTTGGTAATGTCCCCTGATAACGATACTTGCATCTCTTTCCTTAGGTACAATGGCAAATAGCATTTGAAGCACCATCACTATTCTGCCTGAGAGTAAACCCACCACTCTGTGTCGCAGTCATTTATCTTCAACAGCATGAAGTAAACTTCTTCCTGACATAAAGCAGAAGTTTGGCAACATCTGATATATATTTATAATGTAATAATGGTATGTTTGCTAAATAAAATTAATATATTTAAATTCCATTCTTACTTCTAAGTGTTCACATATAGGTTTTTGTGTGTACATATATGTTTTCTGTACTGTAAAAGAAAGTAAATTTTTTTTAAAAAAAGCAAATCATGGGCAATAAGAAAATATTTGTAAACATAGCAGGTTTTCCAGGCTTATGAGGATGCATTGTGTGTGTCAACTTGACAGGGCTGACACACACCTTTAGTTAAACATCCTTCTCTTTGTGTCTGTGAGGATGTTACTGGATGAGAACATCTGGATCCACCGGCTACTGTCCACGGTGTGGACCGCCTCATCCACTCATCCGTGGGACTCCTGGGCCTGATGCTCTGAGTGGAGACGGTGGTCTCCTCCTGCCCCAGACCACAAGTGAGACATCAGTTTTTCCAAGGTCTCCAGAAGGAACCTGCATCCTCAGCTGCCCTGGTTCTCAGCCCTCGGGATTTGGACAGGAACCGCTCCCCTGGGCTCCAGCCTGCTGACTGCACATCTTGGGACTTTTCAGCCTTTATAATTACCCACCTCAATTCCTGATAGTAAACATATCTCTCTTGTGTCCAATCCTCTCCTTTCCTCTCCTCTCCCCTCCCCTCCTATCTCTCTCCCTCTCTCTCTCCTACATACACACACACACACACACACACACACACACACACACACACACACTGGTTCTGTTTCTCTAGAAAGCCCTCCTACAGGACTAAATATCCATTACATTTTAGAAATTTCTAAAATTCAACTGAGACCAATAACGCCCAACAACAAGTGAAGTATATGAACTAGAAATATCACATCAGAAATATAAATGGTCAATAAACTGTTCAACCTCACACATATCAAATAAATAAAATTGAAATGAAGTTCCAAAAAGTAAACAATGGTAACAGAATAAGTAAAAGAATAGTAACCTGCATCTCTGGTGGAAATGCAAAAGTATAGCATACTCTCATGCATCTATTAGAATAACAAAGGATGCAAGTTTTGGAAGGAGATTTCCCAGTATCAAATTTTTAAATGTGCACACTACTCAAGGTAGAAATTCCTTAGGAGCTAAACTATCTTCCAAATATATAAAGACGTATAGATATAGAGATGATAGGTAGGTAAGTAGGTAGGTAGATAGATAGAAGGATGGATGGATGGAGGGATGGATGGATGGATGGATGGATAGATTTTTCCATGCAGCATCCTATTGCTCAAGAATTGGTCAGGTACATTTATGTGATACATTGCATTTGACTACTACACAAATAAGTTCATCAATAAATACTGATAAGGAAAATTGTCATGATAAATTGAAAATCTAAGCAGAAAAAGCAGCATGCAAAACATAATGTTTGCAACTATGGTGCAAAATGCTATGCAACTATGCTTGCAGATATGGTGTGTGTGTGTGTGTGCAGGTGTATGTGTGTTAAAATTCTGGAAAAATACACTACAGAGTCATTTTTAGGAAATTGGGAAAGGTTTGCATTTTCACATTTACACTTTCATTGGTTACATATTTCATCGCAAGCATATATGAAATTCCAAGCTGGAAAAAGACTATTTTGTTAGTCAATAAGGAAATAGCATTTCTAGGAGCAAAATCTCAGCTTTACATACAAACAGCAAATAACTTACCGCAGTGTAACAAAGCCACATAGAATGTCTGACAAATCATTTTTCTTCAGAGACGTGCACTGGATTTTAGTAAATCTAAAACAAAAACACACACATAGGAAAACACATGTATATAAGTTGTCTGTGTGAAATATAAAAGGGTTATAAACGTGTCCTTAAATTGCAACCTTCTGCAGTAGAAGTATTCTTGTTCAGTCATGTCATAGACTCATTGTTACGCACACGCCGCCTTACCTAGTTAAAACATAAGCCGTAAGAAAGCATTCAGTGTTCCTTTATTCCATATATACCAAGACAAGCACCACAGGATAAGACTGAATTTTCATCTAAACCAAAGTTCTCACAGTTCTGATTAAATATGTCACTGTTCATCCAGCACCATTAATGTCACTGCCTTCACATTTGCTTTCATGCTCAAAGTTCACGCTTACAGTCCCCTTTATTTTCTGAAACCCTTACCTTTCATAGGACACCACAAGACAAACGATTATACACAGACAACGATATATTTATTTCCAATAAAGTATGGAACATTTTCCGAAATGTTCTTGAAAACCAACTATTCATTTGCAGATAAGGTGATACTCACATGGAAGAGTTGGTAGAGTAATTCCCAGAAAGCCTATGACAAGATATCCAAATGCTCCGAATAAGCCTTCCCATGACTCCCCCTCAGTTCGAAATACTATATCACATAAAATTATTTGCACTGCTATGTCATGAACTAGAACAGTAGTCAGTCTTTAACGTCCTGGTCTTGGGCTTATGTGACTTTAATGTTTCATTCTTTCTTTACCATCTCAGACCGAGGACTCTGCCCCCACACAGGTATAACTGCAGCAACACCCTGTCAGGAGTCTGGAGAGTCGGTCCTGCTCTTGCATTCGGGGTTCTCATTGGCAAATCAGACTGCAGGATGATCTATATGGCCCTTTCAGAGCTGCCTATGATTCTGAGGCATTTTATTTTAAAATATAAATCATAGTTTTCCTGCAATGAATGTAAAATTACTAAGAAATAGCACCAAGTGATGAATAAATAGGAGAAGCAGGTTTAGTTAATTTCCAACTTACATAGTCTTAGCAGGAAAAGAGATGGATGCAAACAATCTATAGTCTGACAGATTTGTTTCTCACACTATCAGTTTTTCACAAGATTTTTGTTCTTTATAATTCTTGTGACGTCTGTCTAGCATCTCTAGAAATCCTTTCTGCGCTTGGAATCATCACGCTCTCACCGTATCAAAATGAACAAGGTCCCTTTATGTTACCTGTATTAGTTATATTTTATCACTGAAACAAAGTATCCAACACCTGAAACTTAAAGGAGAGAGGTTTTCCACACACCCCTTCCCCAAATGTCTCTGTCACTAATTTTCCAATCACATTCCTTCCAAGTCTTTGACCATATTACAGCCCATGAATTGACACATCTAGATATTTTTTCTTCCAAACAGAATATATGACCAGGCGCACTGCCAGAAGATCTGCCCACTGTGAAGATTCCCTTCACCACTGTCCTGCAGGCGTGTCCTGAC